GCTCCAAAAGGCTTCCAAGAGGCCCACAAGAGAACACAAGGTCATCGTCGTCATCGTCATCATCATCATCACCACCATCATCATCATCATCATCATCACCACCACCACCACCACCACCCACCACCACCACCACACCACCACACCATCATCATCATCATCATCATCATCATCATCATCATCATCATCATCATCATCATCATCATCATCATCATCATCATCATCATCATCATCATCAATCATCATCATCATCATCATCATCATCATCACCATCACCATCACCATCACCATCATCATCATCATCATCATCATCATCATCATCATCATCATCATCATCATCATCAACATCATCGTCGTCGTCGTCATCATCATCCGGAGCGCCCCGGATCGGCGGCACTGGCCGGAGGCCATTTCAATAAGCTCCACTCCTCCTTCCATCTCCTCTACGCCTCCTGCTCCCTCCTCCTCCTCCTCCTCTTCTTTTTCCTCTTCCTCCTCTTCCTGGGCAATATTATGCTGTGTAACCCGTCGTAATAGGTCATCATGAAGCAATCCCTCCCCCCACCTCCATCCGTTTTTTCCTCCATTCGTTTTTTCCATCCATCTGATACGGCCTCCTTCATAAGGAATCACAGCTAAGGAATCATGAACAAGGAATTCGTAAGCATGAATCCTTACTACAGATTATTCAGTACAAACTCCATCATAAAAGGATCTGTATTCAAATATCCTTAACCAGAACCCCTTTATAAGGAATCTGTCCTCCGGAATCCTTCATGCGGAGTACTCGAAAACATCTTAATTAAAAAGCTCTGTATCACGATTCCCTCAGAAGGAACAACTATTAAGGAGTCCTTAACAAAGAATCTCTACTTAAATAATCAGAGTCAGGAGTCCGATGTAAGAAATCTGTACTCGAGAATCGCTAAGGAATCCTTAATAAAGAATCTGAATTTAAGAGCCCTTACTATATAATATGCATTACGGAACCCTTTTACTAAAGAATTTGCGTGAAGGAGTCGTTACAACGGAATATTTACGAATGAACCCCTCGTGCGGAATCTGATCGCAGGAATCCTTAATGGCCAGGCGTCCCCACCTTGTTGTTGTTGGTTTGTTTTGCTTTGGGATCCAAGGGAACACTGTTCTTTCCCCCGTTTTTCGGTGTGTGGTTGTGCAGGCTCAGGGAGAAGTGTTGCGAGGGAGGCCGCGGCGAGAACGGCGGCACGCAAAACCCCAAAAACACAACAACCAACAGTACATAGTGTTTCGTGGTTTCACAAACAACACAAACATACACAATGCTTCCTCACACCGAGGGCGCCAACCACTGCGTAATCGTGTTTGTTTGGTTGTTTTGGAATGGGATGCGAGGAAGCACGCTGTTTTTTTGTTTTGTTGTTTTTGTTTTCGTCTTGCGGGCTCAAAGAGAAGTGCTGCGAGGGAGGCCGCAGCGAGCACTGGAGCTTGCAAAACCACAAACACCCCAAACACAGAAAATTCAATGTTTCGTGGCTTCACGCACAAAAAAACAAACAAACAAACAATACACGGTGTTTCCTTGCACCAAAGGCGCCAACTATTTTTTTGGGTGGCAAGCTCAGGGAGAAATGCTGCGAGGGAGGCCGCGGCGAGCACCGGGCCAGCAGAACCCCCAAACACAAATAGACACAAATAATACACAGTGTTCGGTGGCTTCAAAACCCCAATGAACAAAAGAAAAAACAAACATGCACAGTGTTTCCTTGCACTGACAACGCCAAGCGCTGTCTGGTACGTGTTTTGTATTGTTACAAAGAAAGGGGGAGGAGGAGGAGGAGGAGGAGGAGGAGGAGGAGGAAGAGGAGGAGGAGGAGCAGGAGGAGCAGGAAGAGGAGGAGCAGGAGGAGGAGGAGACGGTGAAGAGAAACAGGAGAAAGGAAAACGAGGAAGAAGCAGAAAAGCAGAGAGAAAGAGAGAGAAAACAAAGAGAGAGAGAGAGAGAGAGGTATGATCACGGGGGGCGACCTTGTATCCCAAACCTGTATTCCTACCCATATCACTATCCCAGCCCGATCCCTATCCCTGCTCCTACACCGCTGTCCCACATCTTTAACCCTGGAGGGTGTCTTCATCCTTATCTATACCGCTACCCGAATCCATATCCTGATTCCCACATCGCGGCTCCGCATCGTGATCACCCATCGTGGCCCCCATCGCAACTGTGTCAAATTGTTTAGGGTCTTCTGCCGCAAGGGTGCCATTAACCCAAATTCGGACTTCGTCCAAATGTTTTCATTTGTTACCAATGAGACACTGCTACCTTTGCAAACTTTGAAAACTATGCGCTTGCATTGTCACGGCCAACTCGCAGTCCTCTTTCGAAAGCAATTTTTGCAGTATGCGGGATCGGAGGCCGAATCTGCATGGTACAATCTTGAGCATCTAAAATATAATGTGCAATTCCCGTGGTGCAAACTAGGTGGCGCAAACTGTGGGGCGGAATCTATGAAGTGCTTGCTATGGGGAGAAAATGCAGCATCTGATTGAAACACTTGCCGCACTGCAGTCCACGTAGTGCTACTCATGTCGTGCACTGTATGTGTTGCAAACTATGGGGCCAAACCTACGAACGCGCGCGAAAACGACAGCCACCGCGCGACTCCCTGTACGATGATCGTACGTTATGTATGTTTTGTAGGGCGGCGGTGAGGCGGCGGTTGGAAGCGTTCTTTTATAACCTACTTCTTGAACTGTCGATGTGTACGCACTGGGTATAGACAGAATCTGTCGCAAACTCTTGTTGTGAAAATGGTCGTGCCGAAACACCCCCAGTGCTTAATCTGATACGTCAACTTCAGGGAGGTGTTTCCGGAATGCAGTAATACGTTGCGCAGTTGTTGACATTTTCGCGGGTGGGGGGGGTGAAATTGCGGGGCGATGCCTAAACTCTTCACGATCCTCCGTTAAACACGTGGTGCGGCGCCCAAGCCCATGCGAAGCTGATTCCTAAACTCGCACGATCCTCCATAAGAAAAGCGTGGCGCGGGCCACATCCCGCGCGCGCGGACGAAAGGGCCAATGTTCAGGGCACCGAGCGCCTGCCAGGGCCCGCTCTTTCACGACGCACATGCACGGCGATGCTCTGCGGTGACGCTGTCATGCTTGCGTGCGCTCCTCGAGGAATTTTTAATACACGAACTGATCTGAACAAAATTGCAATGTGACGCTTGCGTGCGCATTCTGGGCTGAGGAGGCAACCCGGCTCACCACGCAGTGTGACAGCTCGAGTTTCAGATGCTTCAACGCGCACGAGATATGTGCACCAGAAATTTCAAGTTAGCACTCGCTCGGCTCTGCGCGCATCCCAGATAATGTTTCCAGGCCTCCCCCCAATTCCCAAGAAATGCTCGTGACTAGTACGAGAGATGCTTCCAGATTGGGTGGGGACTCCAATGCGGTATAACTTGTGGTACCGTTCAACGGTCAATTGGGTTTACTAGTTTCAGTATCGACCCTTTCGAAGATTGCCTTTGGTAATTCCGATTTCGGTAGTCCTTCTACTCCACCACTCAACATCACCTAGGAATGCCAAATCATCCCTTGCACGGCTTCCTGTGTCCAAACTCTCGACTGAACAAGATATGTGGGCTGGCATGAATGATACTGAAATTCATTATAGATCCTCGTTGCGATGAATGGCTACTGAACATCTTCAACTGAACTCGCAATACTAACTCCGGTGCCAGACGCGGCATTTCCACTGCGGCTCTTTGGATCCAGCACAGTGTTCGGGTACAGTGTCTTGTGGTATTTCTTGGGTGGATTTCGGGTTTACAGCTGACTGGGTGGCACAACGCAATAGCGAATTTGACCATCTTGACCTTGGCATCGGCTCCAACAAACATCCCAACTCCAACACGGAAGACTGAATTGTCAACCCAACCTATATTGACAATTTGCGTGTGTATGTATATATATATATATACAAAGATATATATATATATATATATATATATATACATGTGGTCTGATCTTGTTGCATACCTTTTCGATCGGTGTACCGTGTTCTACCATGTACTATGTTCCCCTTGTCTGGGCTTCGCATTTGGGCAAGCTAACATCCCACGCTGTTCTCCAGGTGCTCGGGCTAGGAAGGGGGTCCGAGAACAATCCAAACCAAAAGGCCAATGCTGCGCATCCTTCCCTTATTCACGCATCCGCTCTCAATTCCACCCCCGACTAGACTGACATCTTTCGCCACTTCGACAAGCCCATCCTGAGCGAAGTACTGCCAATCCGCCAATCGAGGCATGTATGACACTGGCTCTGTTAGTTACCAAACGCGCCTCTAAGAAGGCAAGGGTGCGGCCCCAGCTTCCTTGGGCTACTGCTCTTCCAACTCCTGCTCCGACGCCAGGTCCACCAACTCCTACCCCCTTTGCGTTTGGCCCGAAGCAAGACGGCATAACCTTTACGGTTGCTTCCCCAACCACTCGTCTTCTGGCGTGAGACGGAAAAACGGTTTAGCGATTCTGTCGAGGATCAAGATTTCTAACGATCTCTCCATGCTTGTAACCAATCCTTTCGACATATCTGGCGCCAAAAATGATACCTAGTCCTGATGTGTCGGATTGATTATTGCAGCAATGCACACATTCACTGATCCCCTAGAGCTGCACGTAAGTCTCAACTCTGCTGGCAGAGCTGAATGTGTCACAATGCCCAATTGTCTCTGACTTTCTACTGTACCTGTGTAAATATGTCCGTCTGTCTGTCTGGCTCTTTCTCTCTGTCTCTCCCTCTTCCTCTAAACCTTCCTCCTCTCACCCCTTCTTCCGTGGCGGAGCCCCCGTGGCGATGCGATGCTGCACGGATGAATTGAATAGAACAGATTGAGACGTGGTGCTGCTTTTCTATAAACTCTGGTCAATGCTCGTCACTCACCTTTCCTGTCCGCGCTGAACGCCGGCGAAGCCTCGTGTAGCAGGGCCCGGACCAGAAGCCGCTGCGACTCCAGGGAGGCACCCTCCTGCAGGAAGACTTCGAGCAGCTTCGTGACGTCGTCCTCCGTGGTGTTGGGCAAGTCCCGATACACCTTCGACGCCTCGAACAGCACGGGGGAAAGGTACAGCTGGTCCAGGGCAATCTTGACGTTCAGCCTGCGGCACTGGATCTTGAAGTACCTCGTAAGGACCCGCAGCGTCGTCGCCGCGGCCTGGTGCGCCTCGATCACGAGGCCCGAGGGCATCAGCTTGCCGTTCTGCCTGGTGCTGCTGGTGAAGGCCTTCCACGGCTGCTGCACAATGGAGGCCAGAGCGCCACTCGACTCGACCACCTTAAGGGAACGAGCAATTGCATAAACATAATGATCCCAGAGAAAAAACAATCATTATCTTTTTGGGGCTATAGGGCTATGGGGCTATAGGGCTATAAGGCTCTGGGGCTATAGGGCCATAGACCTAGAGCGCTATAGGGTTATAGGGCTATAGGGCTATAAGACTATATGTCTACAAGGCTACAGGGCCATAGGGCCTCAGGGTTATAGGACTATAGGGCTATAAGGCTATTAAGGCTATAGGGCTATAGGGCTACCGGGCACCCGAGCACCCGGGCACTCCCGGGCACCCCCGGGCACCTCTGGGCACCCGGGCACCTGGGCGGGCCCCTGGGCCGGCCACCGAAATCGGCGACGAACCTCGCTTTAACCATATGATACGGGAGAAAAAACCCAATCATAATCTTTTTGGGGCTTCAGGGCTATGGGGCTATAAGGCTATAGGGCTAGAAGGCTATGGGGCTATAGGGCTACAGGGCTACAGGGCTACAGGGCCATAGGGCTATAGGGCTATTGGGCTATAGGGTTATGGGGCTGTAGAGCTATAGGGCCATAGGGTTATAGGGCTATAGGGCTATAAGGCTATAGGGTTATTGGGGCTATAGGGCTCCAGGGCTATAAGGCTATGCAGAGCTACCGGGCACCTGGGCATCCAAGCACCTGGGCCTGGGCACCCAGGCACCCGGGCACCCGGGCACCCAGGCACAGGCACCCAGGCACCCGGGCACCCGGGCACCCCAGGGCACCCCCGGGCACCTGGCCGCCGGCCACCAAATCGGCGCCGCACCTCACCTAACCATATGAATCTGCTAGGACCCCAACAGAGGCAAGCTCTGATTGGGGAATGAATCCGCTAGGACCCCTACAGAGGCAAGCTCTGATTGGGGAAAATCTCGGAGGTCCGCGCGGGTTTCTCGGATTGGCGCTGGACCCCCCCTGGCGGCGCCTCTGGCGCCGCCCCTGGCGCGCTCCGCGCGCCAGGGAGGGGGGCCCAGCGCCGACCCGAGAAATCCGCGCGGACCTCCGAGCCGTTATGTTCATGCCACTGTTTGTTCCCCCAGCTCCTGGGAGCCCTGGGGCGCGTCCGCCCCCACTGCTGGTGGCCTGGCCACCAGGCTCAGCACGGGCCTCAGCACCTCGGACGGTAGCGGGCGCAGAGCGTCGCTGGCGGCGTGCAGCAGCTCCCCCGCCTCTCTCGCCATCGCTCGGAAGTGCCTTCCCCGTGCACTCTTCGGCCTCGTGCGCTGCTTCTTCGCACGACGACCCATGATGCTCATCGAGGGCCCTCGCCAAACAAAGATATCCTGGCGAAGGACCCATCCATATGCAATTGTGAGTGACGCGTTGTGCGTGCCGCGTTCGGTGGAACTTCCCATAAAGCCACGAAGCGCATGAAAGCCGTGCCGTAATGGGTGGGGGCGGCGCATGCGGGCGGTGCCACTTGGGCCTTCGGTGGGGCTCCCTATGGGGCACGAGACGCTGTACTGGGCGTGGCGGACGCATGAGGGTGGTGCCCTTCGCTGGAACCCACGATGAACCAACGAAGCGCTGTACTGCTGGGGGAAACGTACGCGGGCGGTCCCACTGGGACCTTCTGTGGAGCTCCTTACGGGGCCACGAAACGCTGTACCGGGTAGTGGCCGACGCATGCGGGCGGTGCCACTGGGGGCTTCGGTGGGGCCCCCTATGGACCACGAAGCGCTGTACTGGGAGAGGGGGACGCATGCGGGCGGTGCTTCTGGGGCCTTCGGTAGAACTTTCTATGGGTCCACGAAGCGCTGTACTCGGTGGGGGGTCGAATGCGGGCGGTGCCACTGGGGCTTGGTGGAACTCCCGATCACTGGGGCCGCGAAATGGAATACTGGGTCGTGGACGACGCATGCGGGCGGTGTCACTGGGGTCTTTCTGTGGAGCTCCCTATGGGGCCACGAAGCGCTGTACTGGGTGGTGGCTGACGCATGCTGGCGGTCCCACTGGGACCTTCGGTGGAGCTCCCTCCGGGACGACGAAACGGTGCACTGGGTGGGGGCTGACGCATGCGGGTGGTGCCATTGAGGCCTTCGGTGGAGCTCCCGATGAGGCTACGAAACGCTGTACTGGGTGGGTGAAACGCAGGGAGGAAAAGGGCTGTGCTGGGTGGTGGGTGACGCATGCGTGCGGTCCCACTGGGACCTTCGGTGGAGCTCGCCATGGAGCCATGAAAAGCTGCACCGGGTGGGTGAAACGCAGGGAGAAAGGGCTGTGCTGGGTGGTGGTTGACGCATGCGTGCGGTCCCGCTGGGACCTTCGGTGGAGCTCCGTATGGAGTCACGAAAAGCTGCAATGGGTGGGTGAAACGCAGGGAGCAAGGGCTGTGCTGGGTGGTGGTTGATGCATGTGTGCGGTCCCACTGGGACCTTCGGTGGAGCTCGCCATGGAGCCATGAAAAGCTGCACCGGGTGGGTGAAACGCAGGGAGAAAGGGCTGTGCTGGGTGGTGGTTGACGCATGCGTGCGGTCCCGCTGGGACCTTCGGTGGAGCTCCCTATGGAACCACGAAGCGCTGCACTGGGTGGGTGAAACGCATGGAAGAAGGGCTGTGCTGGGTGGTGGTTGACGCATGCGGGCGGTCCCACTGGGACCTTCGGTGGAGCTCCCTATGGGGCCACGAAGCGCTGTACTGGGTGGGTGAAGCGCAGGGAGGAAGGGCTGTGCTCTGTGGTGGTTGACGCATGCGGGCGGTCCCACTGGGACCTTCGGTGGAGCTCCCTATGGGGCCACGAAAAGCTGCACTGGGTGGGTGAAGCGCAGGGGGGAAAGGGCTGTGCTGGGTGGTGGTTGACGCATGCGGGCGGTCCCACTGGGACCTTCGGTGGAGCTCCCTATGGGGCCACGAAGCGCTGTACTGGGTGGGTGAAACGCAAGGAGGAAAGGGTTGTGCTGGGTGGTGGTTGACGCACGCGGTCGGTCCCGCTGGGACCTTCGGTGGAGCTCCCTGTGGAGCCACGAAGCGCTGCACTGGGTGGGTGAAACGCAGGGAGGAAGGGCTGTGCTGGGTGGTGGTTGACGCATGCGTGCGGTCCCGCTTGGACCTTCGGTGGAGCTCCCGATGGGGCCACGAAGCGCTGCACGTGGTGGGTGGAACGCAAGGAAGAAGGGCTGTGCTGGGTGGTGGTTGACGCATACGGGCGGTCCCACTGGGACCTTCGGTGGAGCTCCCTATGGGGCCACGAAGCGCTGTAGTGGGTAGGTGAAACGCAGGGAGGAAGTGCTGTGCTGGGTGGTGACGCATGCGTGCGGTCCCGCTGGGACCTTCGGTGGAGCTCCCGATGTGGCCACGAAGCGCTGCACTGGTTGGGTGAAACGCAGGGAGGAAAGGGCTGTGCTGGGTGGTGGTTGACGCATGCGGGCGGTCCCACTGGGACCTTCGGTGGAGCTCCTAGGGCTGTGCTGGGTGGTGGTTGACGCATGCGGGCGGTCCCACTGGGACCTTCGGTGGAGCTCCCGATGGGGCCACGAAACGCTGTACTGGGTGGGTGAAGCGCAGGGGGGAAAGGGCTGTGCTGGGTGGTGACGCATGCGTGCGGTCCCACTGGGACCTTCGGTGGAGCTCGCTATGGGGCTACGAAGCGCTGTACTGGGTGGGTGAAGCGCGGGGAGGAAGGGCAGTGATGGGTGGTGGTTGACGCATGCGGGCGGTTGACGGGAGGAGGGAGGGGACGAGGGAGGTGGAGGGAACGCGGGGACCGTCTTTTCAAAACGAGGACCCAACACCACAGGATGGTTGGGAAAAAATGCGCACGTCCGAGCGATGCCCAGGCCTCGGGAAGCGAGGCGCGGGCCCCGGCCGTGGCGCCCAACTCCCTGCCCCGGGCGATGTGGTTCCAGAGCTGCGCCTGCCAGTCGGCCAAGGCTATCAGCGCCCGCGTGACGGTCTCCTTCTCCGGCACCGCCAGCAGCCGCGCGAGGGCGACGCGGACGGCGTCGCGCAGCCCGCGGTCGCAGAACACGTGGGGGACCAGCCCCCTGGGCGCGTCGTGCTCCTCCGCCACGCCGTCGCAGCCGGCGGGTGCAGCGGCCGGGCGGCCGCCAGCTGCCTCCGGGGCGTCCTCGTCGGCGAGCGCGGCGAAGCGGTTCCTGCTGCTGTTGTTTTTCTTCCGCCTCTTGTTCGAGGTCTGCGGCAACGGCGCCTGCTGCGGCGCGGCCTCTCCCGCCAGGCCGCGGAAGAGGCGGCGCTCGGGGTCGCATAGCGCAGGGGTGGCGGCCCGTGCAATCCCGCCCGGGGCGCTCGTCCCCGCGAGCGCGCCAAGCAGCAGCGCGGCCGAGCGCGAGAAGGAGACCACGGCGGTGGCCAGCGCCTCTTCGAACACCGACGGCATCCGCAGGGTATCGCACACATCCCTGCTCCAATAGGCGCGTATGCACTTCGTGATGGCGCTGATCAGCGGCGGAAGCACCTCCCGGCAGAACGCCTCGCGCAGAGACTCGGGCATCCTGTCGGGGGAGGTGGTAGGGTTCAGGTCTACGCGGATTAGCGGGTGAAAGACCTCCTTCAAAAGTAGTTCTGCCGTGTGCGGCCGCATGGACGGGAGTGCCTCTGCCAGAGAACGGATCCAGCCCGTGGTCTGCGGCAGTGTCCAGACCTCTTCACACATCAAGCACGCGTGCATGGCCTTGGCGAACATGCAACGAAGGTCCCAGACGATGTTGCGCACAGCGACGAGGCCGGGGGCGTCCAAAGGCACAGAGGGCGACGGTGCGCTCTCACGCTCCTCTGGCTTGCGGCCGGTGACCGATATGTGTTCGTTGTCGCTCAGCGGCCCAAGTGCTGCCGCGAGTGCCTCGCCAGGGCTCCCCGTGGGGCCGAGCGAGGCCAGGGCGGAGCCCAGCGCGAACACGCCAGGGGCCCAGGCCCTGACCACTTTGGCAGCGGGGTGCCCGTCCGAGGTGCCGAAGGGGTTCTCGCTCGGCGTGGTAGTCTTGGTATCCTGGCCGCGGTCGGGCGAGGTCTTGGTGACGACGCCCACGAAGATGCCAGCAAGCACCCAGGCATCCTTCAGCGGCCTGAGGATCTGCTCCACGGAGGCATCCTGGCCCGCGGCCGCGCCCTGCGCTGCCGCCGCCGCCGCGGCGGCAACGGCGGCCTGGAGTGCGCCGGAGCCCCCTTGCTGCACCAGCTCCGCCGCGAGCCATCGGGCGGTGGGCTGCTCCATGATGCCAGAGACAAGCTCAGCCCGCCGCGCGGGCTGCAGCTCGCCGCAGGCAGCGATCGCGGCCGACAGTGCCTCAGTCAACTTCCCCTGCGAGTTGGGGGTGAGTTTCGGGGCGATGCGCTGGAACTCCGTGTTGAGAGCTTCAAGTTGCTGGGGGCGCAGGACTCCGTGCCTGCCCAGGCTGACGAGCGTGTCGAGAGCGCGCCGCTGCAGGGAGATGCCATCCTTGTCCGCGGGAGGGCTCTCCACGACCGCGAGCAGGCGCTGCAGGACCTGCCCGAGGACGTCTTCACCAAAGTGCCGATAGAACGGCGACCAGTGCGACAGAAACTCCAAGCGCTTCACCTCCAAGGTGCAGTGGAACGTCGCGGCGGGAGCCGTCACCTGAGTAACCAAAAAAGGACCCCTAACCCTTCAGGAGGGGACTTCAGTTAGGAGGGCCAGAAGCATTAGGGATAGGGGGTCTTTCTGCAGATGTATCGAACCAAACCGTCCAGATCGATTATCCCCAATGAAAAGACGGGGACCTCAGTGAGGCCACGTCCTCATCGTGGTATTCGGGTTAGAGGTTCTTTTGTTCTCGATGATCACCTGCTGCAGGAACTCCAGGGAGGGCTGCAAGACCCCGTCGAGCACCTCCTTCGGCTGCCGCTCCGCCGCGCGGAGAGCGGCCGTGCCCGTTCGCTCCACGAGCGAGACCGCGGCCTCGAACTCCGCCGCCGAGGCGCGCGCGCCGCCCAGCGCGCGAGCCGCGATGGAGTTAGGTCGGGCATGTCCTCCTACAGGCAGATTTTGGATGACAAATTTCAAATCATCAAAAACTGCTCAAGCAATAATCAAAAATAGTCGAGCATCGTCCCCAGACTATTTTCTTCTATTTTTGAATTTTCTTCCTGCATAGGGGTATGCCCGACTTAACGATGGAGCTGGCGAGGCGGCAGAGCGCGCCGTAGCCTTCACTGGCCCCCTTGGCGGTGCCTGGGCGGCTGACCTCGGTCAAGACCTCGGCCGCCCTCGTCTTCAGGGTGCCGTAGGCCTGCCTCCGCTCCTCCGCGTCCGCCTCCCGGTCGCAGAGGTCGAAGCTGCGGGTGCGCGAGAGGAGCTCCACCCAGCACTGGAACGTGGGCAGCGCCTCGCTCGTGGAGGGCGTCCCCAGGTACTGCAGCCGCCAGAGGCTCCTGTCGGGCTCCAGGTCTCGCTCGGCCACCAGCAGCTCGGCCCGAAGGGAGTGCACGAAGAGCAGGCTCGCGAGCTGCTCCAACGGCGGCCGGGGCGGCGAATCGCTGCCGTCCCAGCCGTCCTTGCCAACAACTGCTGCCGACTGTGCTCGCGCCAACTGGGCCATCCCCGAGAGGGCGTCGGCTTGCACGGCCGCCGACGGATACCTCAGCAGGTGCATCAGCGCGCCCCAGAGGTCGCCGAGCTCGGGCGTGCGCATCAGCGAGTAGAGCCCGGCCGCGCTGCTCGCACAAAGGTCGGCGAGCAGCTCGGCCACCTGGCGGTGAAACGCGTAGCTGCGCTGGTCCCCGTCGAAGACACACCTGCGCGCTAGCTGCCCCAACATTGCGGTGAGGCGGGCCAAGTCGTGGCCGCCGGGCATCGGGGCGTTCTTCCCCTTGGGGCACAGGTTGTCCACCCAGCCGGCCAACGCCGCAACCGCCATGCCTAGGAGAAGACTTTTTCGACAGGAATATAAACTTTTAGCGCTCCGCGCGGATTTCTTGGATCTGCGCTGGAAGCCGATCCCTGGCGCGCGGAGCGCGCCAGGGGCGGCGCCGGAGGCGCCGCCCAGGGGGGGGCAAGCGCAGCCCCAAGAAATCTGCGCGGAGCGCCACAATTTATGCTCGTGCACTTTTTTCCTTCCTCGAGTGCCCCGGAGGTCGGGGAGCTCGAGGCCGACGCGCACGATCTTGTCGAGGCCGCTCGCCTGGGCATCGTTTAACCGATCCCCATCCCCACCAGCGTGGGCTGGGCCCCACTGACCGATTTACCCCCCTGATAGGGATACAGGCTGCTCTCTTCGGGTTTCGAGGGGCACATCCCCAACTGAGGTGGTGAGACGGTGGGGCTCGAGATCTGTTGGCGGCGCGCACAAGGGGGTGGAGGGAGGGGGTGGGCTTCTTAGAAGGAGGCTGCTTCTTAGAAGACGCCGGCCTTACATCTATAGATAAGGCTCGCGCCTTCTAAGAAGCAGGGGTGCTTCTAAGAAGCCCTCCCCCCTCCCCCCACCCCCCTCTGCGCGTGGCTGAATGTGGATGGGGATGGGGATAGGGATCGGTTAAACGATTCCGATCGCCAGCAGCAGCTTGCCAGGCGCCGCGTGCGCGAGCGCGCGGCAGAGCCCCAGCGCCTCCCGCACCACGTGCGCGTGGGCGCCGTGCCTCTGCAACGCCTCCTGTCGGGGGCGCACTGGCCCGGGTCGGTGCAAGCCCGGGCCGGCTAGGCCGTGCAGGATCCTAGGAGGAGGAGGGGGAGGAGGAGGAGGAGGAGGAGGAGGAGGAGGAGGAGGAGGAGGAGGAGGAGGAGGACAAGACCCTGCAGGATCCTGCAAGATGGGGATCCGAAAGCCGTGTGGTGACACAGACCGTGCGGTGATCTCTGAACAACCCCCAGAGACCTCATCGCACGGTCCGTCGCCGCACGGTCTTGGGGCCCTGGGGGCCCGTCGCCCGAGACGTCCTCGGAGAGGGAGCCGAGTCCCAAAACCGTGCGGTGACCCCCAAACCCCACCGGCTCACCACACGGTGTGGTCACCACCCCGTTTGGGGGCCCCCGAGCAAGGCAAGGTCCTGCACCCAAGCCCGGGTCAATGCGACCCTGGCTCTGCAGGATCCTGCGAGATCTGGCGCTCTGACTGGCCCCCGTTTGCATGGACCCCCGTCTCAAGGCTCCCGACTCCTGCAGGCAGAGGGCCAGCTCTGGCGCCTGAGCCGGCTGGCCTGGCGGCTTCGGCTCCTTGTGCGCCACCAGCGCGGCCAGGGCCTCCTTGATGTCCCTGCGGCGCTCGGGCGTGAGGTCCTCGCGGGGGGGGGGGGGCACCAAAAGACACCGACACCGCTGCTCCCTCCCTTAAGAGTTAGGTCGGGAATGTTCTCCTACGGGCAGGTTTTGGAAGAATAGTCCAAACAATGTAGCAACATTAGCAGAAACTTAAAAGAGTTAGGTCGGGAATGTCTTCGTACGGGCAAGCTTTTGAGGAATAGTTCAAACAATGGGTCAACATTCGCAGAAACATTAACGCCCCCAGACTATTGTCAGAGTGAGGAGGCCGAACGGTCATTCGTTGTCCCTCGGTGCGTGGCTGAAGTGAGAATCCGTGGTGAGAACTCTGCTTGTTGCGTTGTGGTTGTTGTTGTTGTTGTTGTTGTTCTTGTTGTTGAATTCTCACTTATGAAAAATAATTATTGTTGATCCCCCTTCACCGGTGCAGAGTGTTCTTTCTCAATCAAAGTGTGCCCCTCCACGCTCGCACCCTGTTTTTTGACAGGGGAAGTCTTCGTGCTCAAACTGGGCCCCTGGCCCCCCGGATTACAACAACAACGGCTCCCGCCTGAGACCTCCTCCAAATATGCTCAGGACCCCCGCCCCTGAGACTTCTTCACAATTTACTCCGGATCGGTGCTCCCGCCTGTAACTTCCTCGCAATTTAGTCAGGACCCCCGCTCCCATCTGAGACTTCCTCCTAATTTACTCAGGAACGGCGCTCCCGCTCGAGACTTCCTCGCACTTGGGCCAAGACTTCCTCGCAATTTAAACAAGACCCCCGCTCCCGCCAGAGAACCCCTTACCTTTTATTCAAAAACTGCGCTCTCGCCTGTGACTTCCATACGATTTATTAAAAAAAATCGCGCTTTCGACGCTGAGGAAACACGCTGCGTCAAGGACGCCGTTACACTTTACTTAGTAATCGCGCTCTCGCCTTACTCAGGCATCCCGCTTGACTGTCCCACCCGCCCGACCCGCCCGTCCGGGGATCGCCCGCCCGTCGTGGGCTCCCGCCCGAGACTTCCTTCAGGAACGGCGCTTTCGCCTAGGACTTCCTCGTGTTCACGCTCTTACCTTCCTGCTCCTCCTCCCTCTCCCTCCTCCCTCCCCCCTCCGCTCCTCTCTTCTCTCTCCCTCCTCTCTTCCCTCATCCTTATGCCTCTCTGCCCTATTTTTGTCTCCCTCCTCTCCCTCCTCCCTTCTCCTCCATCTCCTGCCTCCTCCCTCTTTCTTTCTTTCTTTCTCTCTCTCTCTCTCGCTCTCTCTCTCTCTATATATATCCCCTCTTTCTCTCCTTCTCTACCTTTTTTTTTGTTTTCTCTCTCTCTCTCTCTTTCTCTCTCCTGGCGATTTCCCTCTTCCTTCGTCCCTCCCCCTCCCTTCTTCTTACTTTCCCTCGTTCTCTTCCTCATCTTTTTGCAGGGCCCACACCAATTCCAATGTCGGGCACATGTGCGCCCACGAAGGATTGTCCGCCCGTTCAGGTTTGCCCGCCTGTCTAAGCCCGCCGCTCTCCGCAAAGAGAATCCCCCCAAAAGGGGTGTGTTCGAAAATCACAATGGCGGGTATCGAGGGAGTGGGGAACTCGTTGTGAATGACACACGGGCAAGTAAGCGCGAACAGTCTTATACTGATTGTTATTGTTGTTGTTGAGCTCTCACTTATGAACAATAATTATTGTTGATCCCCCCCGTCAGGTGCACATTGTTTTTTCGATTGAAGTGCCCTTCCCGGGGCTCGCACCTGGTTTTTTATCAAGGAAAGTCTTGAAACTCAAACAAACTGCGTTGATGGCACCCGCTTTACAACAACAGCGGCTCCCGCCTGGTACTTCCTCAATTTATTCCAGAATCGCGCTCTCGCTTGGGATTTCCTTGCAATTTACCGCCGGATCGCGGCTCCCGCTTGATACTTCCTTACAATGCATTGAAGAATCGCGCTCTCGCTTGGGACTTCCTCGCAACTTACCACCGACTCGCGGCTCCCGCCTGATAGTTCCTCACCGTTTATTCAAATGCAGCTCCTCGACACTCAGGAATCGCGCTCACGCTACATATTGCCTGGCGGTTCAAGCAGAATTTACGCTTCAACGACCCGCCCGCTCGACCCGCCCGTCTGGGCCTGCCCGCCCGACCAGCCCGCTAGAGACTGCAGTCGCCGCTCGCTGCACTTCGCCCGCCTTCGATGCCCCTCGCTGCCCGCGCTGGTTCCGCGGTCGCCTTCGCTCGCTGCCTTTCGTTGCCCCGTTGCTGCCCTCAGTGGCCCCGACACTGCCCATTGAGGCCCCGCAATATATGCCCTTCGTGGCCCCCGCTCGCAGTCGCCCGTCGTGGCCCCACACGCATGCCCTTCGTAGCCCCGCCGTCGCCCTTCGCGGCCCTCTCGCTACCCTTCGTGGCCCCTTTGCTGCCCTCAGTGGCCCCGCTGTCGCCTTTTTGTGGCCCCATATACGAATGCCCTTTGTGGCCCCCGCTCGTTCGCGCCCGTCGTGGCCCCATATGCATGCCTTTCGTGGCCCCGTTGTCGCCCTTCGCGGCCCCCTCTCTGCCCTTCGTGACCCCCTTTCTGCCCTCAGCGGCCCCGTCGATGCCCTCTGCGGTCCTCCAGATGAATTGCCCTTCGTGGCCCCCGCTCACTCGCGCCCTTCGCGGTCCCATGCGCATGCGTTTCGCCGGGCTTCGGGGGTCCGCGTCCCCCTCGTCCTCCGCGCTCTCTCTCTCTCTCTCTCTCTCTCTTTTTTTTTGTTCTCTCTATCTCTCTCGATACATACATATACATATATATATATATATAAAATAAGTTCACTCTCTTTTTTTTTTTTCTCTCTCTATCTCTCTATATATATATCATGTTTTGTTTATCTCTCTCTCTCTCTGTCTCTCTCTCTCTCTCTCTCTTTGTTTCTCTCTTTCTTTCTCTCTCTCTCTCTCTTTTTCTCCCTCTCTCTCTCTCTTCTTTTTTTTTTTGTTCTCTCTCTCTCCCTCTCTCCCTCTCTCCCTTCGCAGCTGTCCCTCCCGTCCCCCCGTCCCCCCCTTGATCTCCCCCCCCCCCCTCCCTCCGTCCCTCCCTCCCCTTATCGTCATTGTTGTCGTCGTCGTCGTCGTCCCTGGCCGCCCCCGTTGGGGCCCGCCTGCCGCCTGGGGCCCGGCACTCCGACCCCTCAGCCAGCCAGGCCGATAATCCGTGCGACTGCCTCGCCGCCTGCCGAGGGCCAGCCTGTCGGCCCTTCAGCCCCCCCCCTCCTCCCTCTCGTCTTTCCCTTCCTTCCTCCTTCCCTCCTTCCCCTCCTTCCTCCTTCCCTCCCTTCCTCCCTTCCTCCCTGCCTCCCTTCCTCCTCCTCCTCCTCCTCCTCCTCCTCCTCCTCCTCCTCCTCCTCCTCCTCCTCCTCCTCCTCCATCCCCCACTTCCTCCTCCGCCCTCCTGTCGTCATGGTCGTCGTCGTCGTGGTGAGCCCGCTGTCTGTCTATCTTGGGGTCGGGTTGCCGCGGGTCGGTGTGTGCATCGCCAGCGTTGCCACTGGTCAGGCCGACGGTCCGCCGTTTGCCGGGGCCTGGTTTGCCGGCCTTTGAGACGCGCGTGTTCCAGTGGCCCAGGTTCTTCTGCAGGCTTCGAATGATGGCCTCCCTCGGCGAAGCCCCCGGGGCGTTCCCGCAGGTTTTCGGAACCTCTGGAACTGCTCGGCGGTCATCGGGGCCATTCCGAGGCCCCCCAGAGGTCATGGGAGGGTTCCGGGTGCCTTCCAATCCCCCCGCGCCTTGTTTCCGCACCGGTCTCCGCTCGTGTCCACCTGCCCCCACTTTTCAACGTTATTTCCCAATCTTCTGCACTCAATCTCCACCCCTTCCCGCTCGCATTTCGCATTTCTCCTAAACTATTATTTACAATTTCTACCAAATTATTCCCAATCCCTCCTCCGGATTCCTCCGTGCGCCCCCCGCTCCTCCGCACTCCTCCCGGTTCCTCTTCTCCACTCCTTGCCGCTCCTCCTCCTGAGACCCTACTCTTGTCCGCTCCATCCCAATCCACTCCACATCCCCGCGCTCCTCTCGACACGGTCGCAGTTCTCATTATCCTTCCGCCCCACTCTCCCAACATCCCGCTTCTTTTCAGGGTTCCACGAAATTCGTTTCTGACACCAGTTCACAACTGTACGTCCCCCCGTGGGTGTATCCACGATATGTTCTTTCAAGGGGGTGGTGCGCGGCGCTGTTTATGGTGCGACCCATGGCGAAACTTATTGTCAACCTGCGTTGGAGTGGCTGGCGCGAGCTGAATCGCCACTCGCAGCGCAAATCATCGTCCTCCCTCCTTCTTGCCCCTCCCTTCCCTTCCTCCGATCCATTCGTCCTCATTATCACCCGTTATCTGTTACCCTTCGTTTTCAAGGGCTTCACCAACCACGCGTGGAAGGGAATGAATATACCCCCCCAAAACGGGGTACGATCGATAACGAAGAGGGCGGGTATCCAGGGTTTGGGATATGCATATTGAATGGCACGCGAACAAATTAGAGCGAACAGTCCTAAACTTATTGTTGCTGTTGCTGTTGTTGCTGTTGTTGTTGTTGCTGTTGCTGTTGTTGCTGCTGTTGCTGTTGCTGTTGCTGTTGCTGTTGCTGTTGCTATTGCTGCTGTTGTTGTTGTTGTTGTTGTTGAACATTATTACTTCTAAAGAATAATTATTGTTGGGGCCCCTGGTGCACGACCCCCCCGCCGCGCCTAGGCCGCAGCCTCATTTTCATCATTTTCGTGAGGAAGTCTCAGGCAAAACGGGTTGGTCCGGATCCGGTTGTGTTGTTACGATCGGTTTTCCCTTGCAAAAAATAAGCTAAAGTGGACATTTCTTGTTCTAACATAACCAAACTTCAAGAATCCCTTGCAAAAAATAAGGTAAAGTGGACATTCGCGCGCGCAAGACGAAATCCTTCCAAAACCTTAGTTTTCGTAGCGATTTTAACATAAAAACATCAAAAAACCAATGGTTTTTTCAAAAAAAAATGTCAAAATTTCATCCCGCGCGCTCTTGCGGATTCGTAGGAAACCCAACACTTTTTAAACATTTCTGTCAAACGGGCTTTTGCGAGCAACTTTTTCGAACTTCTGCAACAACGGTTGCGCACCTGCCAGGGCCATCATCCCTGTCAAATAATACCATGCGGGACACATTCGTTTTTTCTTCGCGCGCGCACGCCGTCGTCGTCGGCCGCGGGGCCCTGAATAGTAGCCACGGTCGTCCGCATGCCACGAAGTGAAGTGTCCGAACGTCATAGGGCGGGAAGCTGGGTGTGGGTGGTGGCGAAGAGTCGTTTGGAAATTTGGTAGAGCTTGAACCGGCCCCCCCACAAAGTGGGGGTATTGCCCGCCTCCTATGAAAACCCTGGCACTGGTGAGAACGGAGTGTCCCCACGTGCTAGTAATTGTTGTTGTTGTTGTTGTTGTTGTTGTTGTTGTTGTTGAACATTATTAATTCTAAAGAATAATTATTGTTGGGGCCCCTGGTGCGCGCCCCCCCCGCCGCGCCTAGGCCGCAGCCACATTTTCATCATTTTCGTGAGGAAGTCTCAGGCAAAACGGGGTATCCGGATCCGGTTGTGTTGTTACGATCGGTTTTCCCTTGCAAAAAATAAGGCAAAGTGGACATTTCTTGTTCTAACATGACCAAACTTCAAGAATCCCTTGCAAAAAATGACACGAAGTGCACATTCGCGCGCGCAAGACGAAATCCTTCCAAAACCTTAGTCTTCGTAGCGATTTTCACATAAAAACATGAAAAACCCAATGGTTTTTTTTTTTCAAAAAAAGGGTTTCAAAAATTCAAGCGGATTTCTTGCGGATTTCTTAGGAAACCCAATACTTTTTCAACATTTCTGTCAAACGGGCTCTTGCGAGCAACTTTTTCACGTGCTTCGAACTTCTGCAACAAAGGTTGCGCGCCTGCCAGGGCCATCATCCCTGTCAAATAATACCATATGGGACACATTCGTTTTTTCTTCGCGCGCGCACGCCGAAATCTTCAATTGCAGGGGGAAAAGTCGTATACTAAGCTAGCTTCCACAAAATGTTACCACAACAAGTCATTGTACCCATGCGCCAGTGTAGTAGCCAAGGTCGTCCGCAGGCCACGAAGTGAAGTGTCCGAACGTCATAGGGCGGGAAGCTGGGTGTGGGTGGTGGCGAAGAGTCGTTTGGAAACTTGGTAGAGCTTGAACCGGCCCCCCCACAAAGTGGGGGTATTGCCCGCCTCCTATGAAAACCCTGGCACTGGTGAGAACGGAGTGTCCCCAGTCTTAAATGATTGTTGTTGTTGTTGTTGTTGTTGTTGTTGTTGTTGTTGTTGTTGTTTGTTGCCGTCGTCCCCCCCGCGACCCACCCGCGACCCACCCCGCGACCCACCCCGCGACTCACCCGCGACCCACCCCGCGACCCACCCCGCGACCCACCCGCGACCCACCCGCGGAGCGCGCCAGGGGCGGTGCCCGAGGCGGTGCTGGGGGGCCCCAGGCGCCGACCCAAGAAATCCGCGCGGACGCCGAACGTTTATGTTCATGGTGTTTTTTCTTTCATCAGGCATCGGCGACGCCGGCGATGCATCGGCTCCCTGGACCTCGCCTGGGTGCGCTCGGACCAGCACTTCGAAGAGAATCTGGCCGTGGCGGCGGCGAGGGCCCTCCTGCCTCCCCCAGATCCTGTTCGGGCGTTGGCAGAAATGGGTTTAAAGGGACCTGGTTTGGCGATGTGTACTGGGGATCTCCACCCCCGCCCGGTTCCACTAACTGGAACTGCCGTCACCCGAGAAACACCAGCTACGGCAGACCTGGTTTAGTGATTCTGGCCGATTTAGTAGCTCCGGGGCCCTACTACTAAGCGGGTCCCCTTACCTGGGGCCCTGGCTGTACCCGACCTGTAGGCGCGCCAGGACGCTTCGTCTCCCAGCGGCCGCTCGGAACGAGTTGGCCCCCCTCCCACACCGGGAACGCTCTCGGCGAGGCACAGCTGCTGGAGAGCAGCCCCTAAGCTGGAAAACCGCCGAGGACCGACGACAGCGGTCGAACGCCTCGGACCTCTGACCCGAGCCCTCCCCTCGAGCCGGCGGATCGGCACACTGTTTCCTTGAGCAGGCACCGACCGTCCCGGCATTCTTGTAGGCCTACCACGAAATCTTCTTAGAACCCAAAAATGCTCCAAGAACAAAAGCAACGTTCTTATATCATAATTCCGATGTGATAAAACAAGACAGACTCCGCCAAACATGTTCTAAGAACATTTCGGTTCTTAGAACATTGTTTGGTAGGCCTATAGGCACGCCAATACGCTTCGCCACTGCTTGATCCCCCGGGCCCTTGGAGCCTTCCGCGAGGAGGTCCGCCGGCTGGCCCCAGCTTCCCAAGAGGGGAGGTGGGATGGGACGTCGCTTCGGAAGCCCCCTTCCCCTGGGACTCGGAAAGGGCGGGGGGAGTGAAGCCGGGCCCCCCGCCTTGTTTTTCACGTCTCCCGCAGCGCGCCTTTTCGAGAGGCCTCCTAGACGGGGTCGGAGTAGATGGGGTCGGAGGATCGCGCCGCATCGCCGATACTTCGGTGATGCATCGGAGATGCATCGGCGATGCATCGACGATGCACCGGCGAGGCATCGTCGATGTCGGCAACGCATCGGCGACGTCGACGTGAAGCAAATCGGGCCCTTCATCGAGCCGCATCGGCGACGCATCGGCGACGCGGAGCGATCCTCCGACCCCGTTTGCTCGGACCCCAGCCGGGAGGCCCGGGCTTCCGCCACCTCCCCCTGCCCCGGGTCCTTGGAGTCCTCCGCGAGGAGCTCCGCCAGCTGGCCCCAGGCGCCGAGCGCGAGGGCCGCGCTGCAAGCCCCGGGCCCCCGCGCCGCCGCCAGCAGCGCGGGCCGCAGCTCCGGCCACCGCTGGGGCCAGTCCTAAAAAGAGACGCCACCTACACTGGGGGCCTCCTCCTCCTCCTCCTCCTCCTCCCTCCTCCTCCTCCCTCCCTCCTCCTCCCTCCCTCCCTCCTCCTCCCTCCCTCCTCCTTCTCCTCCTCCTCCTCCTCCGCCTCCTCCTCCAAACGTCACCGAACGCCTAAGGCTTGAGTGTGAAATCTGCGTCCTGGATGGCCTCCAAGAAGACAAATTTGGCGAGCACAATGAACGGAGACCTGTGAGACACCTTGATTTAGAAAGCTCTCACGAGGTTCAACAGCAGCTCGGGACTCACATGTAGAAGGCCCCAGCGCTCCGGAGGGGATGCTGGTATGGGAGGGTACCCAGGGTGGTGTGTGTGTAGTGGTTGCCTTCCGAAGTCCAGGCGCGCTAACTCCGCGACCGCCTCGGCGCACTTGGTGCGCACGTAGCCGGGCGGGGGCGAGGGCGCTCCTGGGGACCAAAAAGTGGAAAGGGCACCGATGATTCCCGCCACCCTGCGCTTGCTTTCGTCTTCGGGCCTCCTGGGAGGCCCTCGTTAGAAGAAGGACAAAAGCCATCACCATACACTTTTGGGGCTCCGCGCGGATTTCGTGGATCTGCGCTGGACCCCCCTCCCTGGAGCGCGGAGCGCGCCAGGGGCGGCACCGGAGGCGCCGCCGGGGAAGGCCCAGCGCAGATCCAAGACATACGCGCGGAGCGCCGAACAAATACATATGTGTATGGCGTTTTTTCCGCTTCGACTCGTCGCCACGGCTGGATTCGCCTCGAAGTTCTGGTCAGGACGCGCCCCATAGAGGAGGAGGAAGAGTACAAAAAGGCGACACCACCACCACTGGCGCGAGGCGCCAGAGAGGGCCCTCCTAGTGTGCCCCCTCCCCCTCGCTCGAGACATCCCCCATCCCCATATCGGGGGTATCTTCTCGCTGGGGTTAGCTGCGGGTAGCTCCCCAGCGTGGACCTCCTCGCTGGGGGTAGCTCCTCCTGGTGGTGCTGTCGCCTCTCCTTCCTCCGATCCTGGGGGCGGGCCGGAACCGAGACTGCGAGATCCGCCTCCCGCTCCGGCCCCTCCGGAGGGCGATGACGAGGGGGAAAGGGAGGGGGGGAGCAGAGAGCGGCGGGGAGATCGAGGAGAAGGGGAATGTGCCGGGAATGTATAGGGAGAGGGGCGAGGAAGAGAGACGGAGAGAGGAACACACACAGGGAGGGCAAGGACGATGGGGTTGCTCAACTACTCTCCCAGCCAGCGTGGGCTCGAGCGGGAAGCAGCTTCACGAGTCTAGAGATTATCGAGCGATGGGACTTGTGCAGCTGCCCGCATTGTAAAGTATCTGGTGCCATCTTCATCTTCCACCCCTCATCATCCTGCATTCAGCATCGCATTCGTAACGCTACCGTCCTCTCTCCACTTCCTCCTCCAACTCGTTCCCATCATTACGTCACCGCCCCGTCCACCATCACCATCATCATCACCATACGTACTCACAAATAAAGCCATCATCATCAGCAGCATCATCATCACCATCATTATCACCATAACCATCATCACCATCCCATCATCCTCATCATCATCACGAGCATCAGCATTATCATCATCATCATGATCATCATGATGATCATCATCATTATCATCAGCATCATCATCATCACCATCATAGTCATCGTCGGCCTCCTCCTCCTACTCCTCCTCCGCATCATACTCATCGCCATCCTCCTCCTCCTCCTCATCATCACCACCATGATCATCGTCATCGTTATCATCACCATCACCATCACCATCACCATCACCATCACCATCACCATCATCATCACTCACCACCATAACAATATTCCTCCTCATCATCACCATCGTCGTCATCACCATCACCATCCTCCTCCTCATCCTCATCATCCTGATCATCATCATCATCATCATCATCATCATCATCATCATCATCATCATCTCCATCACCATCACCATCACCGTCGTCATCATCATCATCCTAATGATCATCATCATCGTCGTCGTCGTCGTTATCGTCGTCATCATCATCGTCGTCGTCGTTATCATCGTTATGATCCTGATTCTCATCACCATCATCACAATAATCACCACCATCATTATCATAATCATAGTCGTCATCATCATCGTCATCATCATCAGCATCATCATATCAGTATCATCATCCTCCTCCTCATCATCATGATCCCCATCCTCATCCCCACCATCGTCATCATCATCATCACCTCCTCCATCATCATCCTCGTCATCATCACCACCACCACCACCACCACCACCACCATCATCATCATCATCATCATCATCATCATCATCATCATCATCATCATCATCATCATCATCATCGTCATCCGCATCCTCATCCTCCTGATCGCCAGCAACACTATGTCAACCTCATCCTTGCCTCCACCATCACCGCCGCCCGCGCGGGCGCCTCGGAGACCGGCCCAAACGAGCAGCCCCCGCGGGAGCGAGGCGGAGAACTCTCTTGTTCTGGTCCGTGGGCACCAGAGAGGCTGGTGCGGGTCGACATCGGGAGGGTCAGCATCATGATCATCATGATCATCATCCTCCTCCTCATCATTATCCTCATCCTCATCCTCCTCCTCCTCATCATTATCATCATCATCATGATCCCCATCCTCATTCCCACCACCACGACCACCACCATCATCATCATCATCATCATCATCATCATCATCATCACCATCACCATCACCATCACCATCACCATCACCATCACCATCACCATCACCATCACCATCATCATCATCATCATCATCATCATCATCATCATCATCATCATCATCATCATCATCATCATCATCATCATTATCGTCATCATCAGCATCGTCATCATCATCATCGTCGTCGTTATCATCGTTATCATCATGATTCTCATCACCACCATCACAATAATCACCACCATCATTATCATAATCATCATCGTAATCATCATCATCATCATCATCATCATCATCATCATCACCAGCGAGACAAGTGCGGGTCTAGACGAGCGCGTTCCACTACTCGCAAAGTAACTACTCGCAAATGGCCCGGATCCGCCGCGGGGGATTTACGACATCTTACACAAAGGCAGACTTATGGTTTTTCGGGCGTTTGCGAGTAGGCACTTTGCGAGTCGTGGAACGCGCTCGGCGAGGGTCAACATCGGGAGGGGCGCCCTGGGAACGAATTGCAGCACGGAGGGAGACTGGCAGAGGAGAGAGGCGGAGAGTAGAACAAAAGAAAACGCCATCGACACAAACTTTTGGTGCTCCGCGCGGATTTCTTGCATCTGCGCTGACTCCGGGGCGGCGCCTCCGGAAGTTCATGCTTGTGGCGTTTCTTTTTTCCTTCGAGAATTCGAAGGAGCCGCGGGCAGAACACAGAGTCCCGCACGCGCGTGCCGAGGAGACGAAACCATTTGGACGCCCGAAATGGGTACGGAAAGAATGGGTACAATGCCCAACAACAGCCGCTGTTGGGCAGGCGGCCTTCTGTCTCGAATGGACACAGGCCGCGGCGGCGTGGACAGCGAATCCCGTTCAAAATGAACAGGACCCACTGTTGGGCATTGTACCCACTCTTTCTGTGCCCATTTCGTTCGTGCAGAACAAAGTCCTGCACGCGCGTGCCGAGGAGACGAAACCAGAGGGCGCGCCCTGGGCCAGTTCTCTCCCTCGGCCCGGCAGAGAGGTGCGCCCACGGAGCGCCCTGGAGGCTCGCGCACTGCCTCGTCCGGGCCCGCGGCGCCCCCCTGGAAGAAGAGCCGCAGCGCGCCCAGGGGCGACCGACAACGGGCCGCGGTGCCCTCGGCCGAAGGCAGTGCGCACCTGCTTGGACGCCCGAAATTCGGCGGCGAGCGCGGGGGGGGGGAAGTGAGGAGGAGAAGGCCTTCTCAGAAGGTTCGGAAGTCCCCCGGCCCTCCGAGAAGTTTTCTGAGCCCTCTCCGAAGACCCACAGCACCTTATCAGAAGGCGCGAGGGCTTCTGAGAAGTCCCGCCGCCTTCTGAGAAGGCCTTCTCCTTCTCATTTGCCCCCCGCGCTCGCCTCCGAGACATGGGTTCTAAAACAAATGGGTACGGTGCCCAACAACAAGTGCTGTCTGAAACGACATGGGCCGCTGTTGGGCAGGCGACCTTCTGTCTCAGATGAACAACGTCCGCGGCGACGCCGACAGCGAACCCGGGTCAAAAAACAGTACCCATGTCTTGAAGAAGAGAAAACGCCATTGACACAAACTTTTGGCGCTCCGCGCGGATTTCTTGCATCTGCGCTGAACCCCCCTCCCTGGCGCGCGGAGCGCGCCAGGGCGGGGGCCCAGGCGCGGATCCGAGAAATCCGCGCGGAGCGCCAAAAGTTTATGCTTGTGACCTTTTCCCTTCTTCGAATTCCGATCGTATACTTAGGCCGGGCATGTCCCCCTACAGGCGGATTTTCGGCGGAAAAAAAAAACAAAACGAATGCTCAGAAATAGTCCAAACAAATACGAAGAAAAAAGTCCCCAGGTTATCTTCTGGACAATTTTTGAATATTCCTCCTGTAGAGGGACCTGCCCGACTTGATCGTATACGTAACCTGCGCGCGAGCTTCTCGACGCCGGCGCGCGGCCCCGGTCTGAGCGCGCCGCCTGCGCGTGCCGAGGCCGAAGAGCAGCAGCCAGGCGAAGGCGGGCAAACCCGTGGCTCAAGCCGCCGAGGCTCGAAACTAGTAGGGGCACTGTTCCCACGAGCTGGAGTCGGGCAATATGGTAAACACCGCGCATCCACAGCCTGAGAGTTCTTTGGTTTCATCGTGCGCTGACTCTTCTTCCGGGAATATGTTGTCTCCTTCCGGGAAGGCCGTTTTAGCGGCCACGGACTTGCCGACCCTCGCCCAACCTCCGAAGATTTGGGCGCCCGACATGGGTATACGGTAAAAGTGGGTACAATGCCCAGCAGCAAATGTTGTCCAAAACCGACAGCGGCCGCTGTTGGGCCGGTGGCTTTTTGCCATTCAAAGAACAACGTCCGCGGCGACGCGGACAGCGAGTTCCGTTCAAGATGAACTGGAACGCTGTTGGGCATTCGAGGGGCAACGATAGGGGGGGATGGGCATAGGGGGGGATGCATCGACCTGGAATCAGCAATACATCGCCGATAGATCGGCGATAGGCTCCCGATCGTGAATCCGCACCTTCCTGGGCGGGGTGGGGCTATCGGGTCCCTATCGGCGATCAATGGGCGATTCGGGATCGATGCATACCACCCTATGCCTATCCCCCCCCATCGTTGTCCCTGAGCGTTGTGCCCATTCTTTCCGTACCCATTTCGATCGTCCCGAGCGGCGCGGCCCCTGCGCTCGGGGCCCCGCTGCCGGCGGGCGGGGGCCGCTGCAGCGGGCCGCGAGCGGGGCTCAACGAGGCCGCCGCCGCGGCCTGCGCCGGGCCCGGCGCCCAGCACGGCGCAGAGCAGGAGTGTCGGGGAGACCCGGGCTCGGGGGACCCAGGTGGGCCTGACAGCGCTCGGAGCCCCATCTTCTTGCCTGACGGCTCCTCGCTCGGCACACGCAGATGGCTTGTAGCGCCTGCTGAGCATAGCCGTCGATAAGCTCGACGACAAGCGCCGAATCATCTCACCGAGTCCACATTGAACACACAGAAGCACTCGATTCTGTATGCTAAGGTGCCGCTGCTTCTGCCACCGCTCAGCTGACACGCAAACTTCCCAGAAATGTCTCTTACCAAATCGCGCCAACGAACGCGGCATTCGGCAACTCGCATGCAACCGAGAGCTACAAATTTACGGACACGTGCGTACCTAGGGCTCCCAACTTCGCGCTTCGCGCTGCGCGAAGCGCGAATAACTTCGCGCTCTCGCGCCGCCCTCCCAAAGGGAGAATAGGAGGACGAGGAGGAGGGGGAGAAGGAACGAGGACCGCGAAGCGCGAAGCGCGAATAACTTCGCGCCCTCGAGGGAGCCCTTGCGCATGCAACCGAGAGCTACAAATTTACGGACACGTGCGTACACATTCCCGATAACTCGAGCACGCTGGCGCGTGGGCGCCAAATCCGTGGATCGGGGAACGTATCCCCCGAACCATGGCGCCAATGCCTTCTAATCAAGCAAAGGAACTCGCATGTACGGAAGCGGGACCCGTCGGCAATCCATGCGCATTGGTCCATGTTTGCGCTTTCTCGAAACATATCCCCGATAACCTGGCTCACACTGAGCGTATCCTCCTCCGCCTCCTCCTCCGCCTCGTGCTCCTTCTCCTCCTCCTTCCCGTCCTCCTCCCCCTCCCCGTCCTCCTTTTCCTCCTTCCCCCCCTCCTCCTCCCTCTTTATTATTCTCCTTCTCCTTCTGCTTATCCTCCTCCTCCTCCTCCAATTTTTCCCTGATAGATAACTCCTCCCTGTCACACCACCGGGCGTATCCGTAGGCCAGGCCGGGCGTCTCACCTGAGAAGTTCTCGCCAACAATGACCCTGATACTTGAAATTTGCCGCAAGTTCAAAAATGAAGCCCGAGTGGTTGTCAACATGCGGCTCTCGCCCCAGAAGCCGCGCTCAGTCGTCCTAAACACTTACAACAATTCCATGGAGCCCAGGTGCTCTCGCCTCAATTCCGCACGCAATTGTCTTAAATCACCTGCAACACCTTGAAGGGTGGAGCCCGGGTGGTGTTCAACATGTGGCTCTCGCCTTAGTGCCGCGCCCATTCGCCTTAAAACTTGCGACCGTTTCAGGGATAGAGCCCAGGTAACTTTCAAAATGTGATTCCCACCGTAACTCCGCGCCCGCCCGTACGACCCAACACTTATCATCCTACACAACACATGTTAGTCGGTGCGCATCCATCCGCTATAACCGTCACCACCCGGCGCAACATTATAGAAATCTGCTCAAATCCATATGGCCCAACTCTCACCATCCGGTGTATACAACTATTACTCTGAATGCATCCATACGACCCAGCCGTTGCCGTTCTATGCAACAAATGTTTGGTGCAAGCCAATCTGGGCCAACCGCCACCATCCTACGTAACATAATTTACTCGGTGTACACCCATACGACCTAGCCTTCATCACCCGATGTAAAACTCTATTCTGCGCACACCCATCCGACCAAACCATCACCACCCTATGCAACACATGCAATTCGGCGATCGTCCGTCCGACCCAACCCTCACAGCTTTTTGCATAACCCCAAACAAATATTCGGTGCGCGTCTGCTGGTCTTCAGCATTGACCCACCCCCTGGCCCCAAAAGAGCCCTAAGGCACACAACGCACGAACAAAACAATGCATCGATAGCACGTGCATGATATATCCATACGTTTCGGGCATCCTTCGCCGACTCCGACTTTGGACCCAAGCGCTCTCCAGACTGCCCCTGGCGCTCCCAAGCGCTACAGCCCCTTCCCAAGCGCGCCCAGGCTCGCCGTCGCCACCAGCACCAAGAGAATCCACATCCTCATTTTCAGCGTCCCCTTCGCCGCAAGAGGCGTCAAGGAGCAGATGAGTTCAGATCGCGTTGACGCGTGGACCAGGAGCGGCTTTCACGATGGGGTTCTCGCTTTGCTGGCGCCGCACACAGTCGCTTTACAACCGAAGAGCAGACACTAGGCGGGTCGTTTTCAAAAGGGGCTCTCGCCCAAGCGCCGCGCATATTCGGCTTCTAGATTGTCTTAAGCTGCGCGAGTGGATGGCGAGTGCTTTCCAAGACGGTGGGGACCTTGGCCAAGGAACCCGTGGAGAAGGACTCCAGGGTCTGGAAGCTGGCGGAACTCTTATCGTGGATCGGCCATGGGTATCACCGACGCCGTCATTAGATAAGCAATCCTCCAAGGCACATTCCTTAACGAACGCCCCCACCGTGTTGGGGTCTCCCCTTGGCCTCGCGCGCATCCGAATACAAATCCACCATCTACACCCACGTGACCCTTCCTCGAACTTCACGACCCAGAGTTCTATATGGTGCAACGGCTAGCACGGATGGCGACCGGCTCATCTTTCGAAACGAGGCTCTCGCGTGGGACTTCAGCGGAGCATACGTCCACGGGACATCCTGCAACGCTAAGACGGATGGAGGTCATGCTCGTCTCACAATGAAACTAGCCCTCGGCCTCCTTGAAGAGATCCCGCGTGGGACTTCCGCGGAGCATACGTCCACGACTTTGATATCCTGCAAAGCTTAAACGGATTGAGGGCATATGCTGATCAAAATGGGGCTACCCGGGGCGTCCTCCAAGTGAAGGGAGGATCCTTTGCAACATGCGCCCTCGTCTGACTGGAGGACCTACTGGCCGCTCGTCATTCAACCGGGGGCGCGCGCAGTCGAAAGGATGACGTGTATGGACTTATGAGGGGTGGACTTGGGACGGGAGGGTGTATTGCAGCATCGGCTGATGCATCTTGGGCTTGCTCTGGTCCTCCTCCTCCTCCTCCTCCTCCTCCTCCTCACCCTCCACTTCCTCCTCCTCCTCCTCCTCCGTAACCACTTTGGCTCACGATGCTTTGTCCCACAGAGGAACACGTGGATACCGCTAGTCCGCGGCCAGTGCCAGGGCGCCTCAGCCCGACAATTTTGTTCAGGTCATTGCGTGCCTCCTGCTGCCCGCAGGTGCGCACTCTCGTCTCCTCTCGTGCAGCATGGGATACGGCAGTGGGAAGGCTACGGGTTTCATCGACTGCAAGGCGTGCGGCTACAAATGGAACTGGGCCAACAAGACGGAATGTTTCAAGTGCAAGGCCAAGCTCATGCCGTCAATTGGAGCACCGCCGCCGCTGTCAGGAGTATGGGCTGAGAATCAGAAGTATTCTACGGGATGGTCGAAATTCGGGCGCGGCTGGGCGAAAACGGCACCATGGCGGAAACACGGCAGCTACAAGTTTTGGAACTGGGAGCACAAGGGCGAGCACGACGAGGCGGCGCAGCTGGCTGACCCGCTCTCCACCACGTCCCTCATCGCGAGCTTGGCGTCCTACCAGTGTGATGGCGACGAGACGGGCCCCACGATCGCGGCCGCCATGGACACGCTGCGGCGCAAGGCTCAAGCAGAGCAGGCAGCCAAGACAACACCAGCGCCTCCAAAGCCAAGAACGGGGGCACAACTGCTCGGCGAGGCCAACAGAGCGCTCAAGGACATCGATCACCACATCGGCAAGCAAAGACATAAGCTCGTCGACGCACAGCTCTACCTGGACGACCAAGAAGAGTATATGGCCAAGCTCGAGCGTCCACGGGCCGAGACGCTGCAGCAACAGTGGGGGGCCTTGGCGCAGGCCAGCGCGGAGTCGGGCATCGAGGTGGTCAAGCCCGAGGAGAAGGTTGGCAGCGGCGCGCTCAAGGTCAATTTCGAGTTCGACGCATCGCTCTTCGAGGGCCTCGAAGAGTGCGATGTCACACCCGAAGAGATGCAAAGTATTCTGCGGTAGAAGAAAGAGCTCGAACAGTTCCATCAGGAACAGATGGGCGCGCTGCAGGCGAAGTTCAAGTACATCGAGGGCATTTACGAGAAAGCTAAGTTGGCAATGGCAGCCCCAAAGAAAAACCGAAAGGTGCAAGGCGAAGAAGACACCGAGCCCAAGAGCGGGGTCACGAAACCCCCAACTACACCGCCAGAGGCGGCGGCACCTGCAGCAACCGCCACTCCAGGTGCTAGCAGCAGCGCAGCACCGACGGGTAACTCGCTCAATCAGGGCAGGGAGAAGCAGAATATCCGCGACGCCAGCAAGGCAGCCTTGGATCAAGCCCGGGCTGAACAACAGAAGGCGATGACTGATGGGGAGACTGCTGCGGGCAGTGCTGTGGCTACAGCTCCCGGGCAGACTGTTTAGTGCGGCCGGTTGCACCGAGATCGCCGCGAACACGGAGTCCGAAACTGAGCCGTTCACTATCCTGTTCGGCAATATCACGGAACGGTGACTGCAGATGCAGAGTTTTGTGGAAGGTTCCGCAGCAAATAATACGATTGTCTAGCTTTCGTCGAGACGCACAGAGGACCAAGCGGTATATTGAGTATCGAGAGTTTCTTACAGAAAGAGGGTTGGAAAACTGCGGTCGCCCCCGCGGTCCCGAGTGGCAAATCTCAGCATGGGCTATCGGCAGGTGAAGTAATTGCAGCACGGGCACATATCCGAGCTACATATCTTGAGCATTGGAAAGGTAAGTATGACAGGCAAGGCGACGCGGCGTTCGTCTCCGCGCGGGCAATTTCACCCACGTCGCTGCGAACCTTCGGCCGAAGTTAAAGTTCACTGGGGGGGTTCGAAAGATTATGGCAGCCCTCGCGGCTTTCGTGGGGATGCAGAAGGATCCCTGGCTCGCACCTGCAAATTGGAACTGTTTACAGACTGAGCTACTCACGTCAGGCTGGATCGAGCATATGCACGGTGGGATCGTCACAGGCCCCGAGGAGGTTACCTGCGACAAGGGGCAAAGACCGCTCTACGACTACGGAGTGGCACCAGCTGGGTACGAGGGAGCGCTCACCATCACAAAGGCCTTGGCAGTACCATGGGCGACGCTTTGTGGGTTGCAGATCCAGATGGCAAGCAAAAAAGCAGAGATGGTGGCGCCGTGCTCTTGATCTCCCCAGAGCGTTACCTACGACATTCAGAGCCACCAATCAACGTGACCCTGAAAGCAAGAGAAGCAAACCGACGGACAAGTTCTTACAAGGGCGCGCGGCCTCGGAGCCAGATCTCAGAGACGGTTTCGACTTACTTGGCCAAGATCCTGAGCCGGCGGCTCCGAACATATCCCAAGCGAGCGAGGCGGTCGGTTCTACTTCGTCTCCTCCCACGGCTGCGCCGTTCGATCGCCAGCGGCCCTGACGTCGGATCCTGGCCTCGCGCCGCTCCGAACCGCCGCCGCGAAACCCAGCTGGATCCCAAGTCCCAGGGGCCCCCAGGCCAGGAGGCCCGACCGTCAAGCAACTCTGCTGCGCCAACCGATAACTGGCTGAAGCAGCGATCCGCCCCGAGTCTCGGGACCTCGGGCGCTGCCCCCAGCGGGGGCTCCTGGGGGCATCATGGCCCCGCGGCCCATCCCACGCCATCGCACAAGCCGCCTACGACAGAGGCCCCATATAAAATATGGGTACGCGATGAACGATGGCGACCACAGGCTTACCGGGAGCGACCTCATATTGCGCGGCAGCTGGCAACTCTCTACGGCAGATGGGTCACTACTTTGGAGTGCGCAGTACTGGAACATTCGGAAGTACCACGGTATCAACGAGAAGGCTATAGTGGCAGGACGAAAGGGTTCGGCATCTAATGGAAGAAGAGCACTGCAGCACCAAGGCGGCCTCACCTTCACAATCCAGAGGCGGAACGGCGGGCGATTACCCACACGCGCGTGATTGCGATCAACAGCCCGGTCGAAAATAAGACGGACCCTGCGCAGTTGACAGAGAGCAAGACTTCCAAAAACGAGTCCAGCAAGTTCACGGCGTCAGCAAGTATAAGAAGGTCGAGATCACCAACCATTGGCAGCAGCACGCGGGCGACACCTTCAGCCCAGTCAAACAGGAGCGCGACGACGTCATAGAGCGCACCGCTGCACTCGCAGGAGACGCAGCACGGCGGGCTCTGGCGGAAGGGCGCAAGGGCTTTATTACCTGGGCGCAGGACATGTGGAAGAATACGCCAGGAGCATTACATCGCTGGGCAGAGGACACCCCACCACCTCGCCTTGAGGAAATGATATCGGGCACGATAGCGGCGGGCCCTGCGCAGATCATGCAGCATAAGAGCGACACATGGGCGAACGAGTGGACAGCAACACCTCAGAGGCAGGAAGCACTCAAATCAACACTACAGTTATGTCGTCAAAGAGCTCGGCTTGAAGAACTCCCCGAGCTCGGATTGCAGGACTTGAACGCGGCCACTAAGCGGATGGGGGTAAAGGAAGCTCGCGGACTTGACGGCATTGGCCCCCTGGACATCGAGAGGCCCCCCGACCAAGGCAAGCTCGAGCACCTGCAGAATATTCGCGAGTCGGAACTCGACCTCATGTGGCCCCCGCAGATCCTCGGCACTAGCGGCGCTATCGCAAGCAAACCAGCAGGAGGTGACCGAGCGCTGGTGTTACTACCTATAACAATGTGAACATGGTCCCGCATGCGGTCAGGCGCAGTGGAGGCATGGAGACAGCAGTTAGAGGATCACTGCGACACAACGCTAAGGGGGTCGTCGGCGTTGAGGACGGCGCATTTCCGTGCGACCCTGGATGAGACAGGACAAGCTATGGGAATCTCGCTCACGCAGAACTCTTCGCCGGCATGGAGCAGTCATAATACTGTCTTGATCTTGGTTGGTTGGTAAATGCTGGCATTCAGTTGGGATTTTCACCCCCTATTATGGCTTTGGAGGTTGAAGAGCTCCCTTGGGGCCGAGGCGTCTCACGCATGCCGATTGGATTGGCCCCGGAATCGCCCCGACCTGCTCCATGGTAGCAGGATCGGCTCAAGGCACCAGATTTGCAAAAAATAATTCGTTCCCTCTCCTAGATGCAGCCCACGAGCGTGTGCAGACAGCTGGGCCATGGACGTGCGTCGACGACGCAGTGGGCAGGGTCGAAGGCCCCGAAGAGGTAGTGGAACACCAGATAGCGGAGCTCGCGGACGATTTCATAAAACAAGCAGCAAGCAGGAATCTCATGATTTCACCGAAGACAGCACCGGTCGCCTCGAACCCTCAGCTACGACGACGGATTTGGGAAAAGGTTAGCACAGCGAGGGCCCCCAGGCAAGCGCCATGCGGACGTGGTCGACCTGGGCGCCGGCGGCATGGGCGAGCGTTCTCAGAAAAAGGCTAGAGCGCGACAAAGGAAAGCCCAGCAGCGCGCAGGCGAGATCTTTCGGCCACGACGCATGGCCACCAGAGTTGCGAAGATCGCGCGGGGGCTCTTCTCGACGGGCGCGGCGCCTCAAGCTACTTTCGGACGCGAGGTCTGGGGGGTCGCACCCAGTCGGATATTGCACCTTCGACGGGCGGCTATGCGATCGGCCGCGGGGCCAGGCCCAGGGCGATGCTTATCTACGGGAATTGCAGTGTTATATCATCTCAAAGACCCAGGATTTCTTTACGACGGCAGCTGGCCAGCGAACGGCGGCACCAATGGCTGCTGCGCCCAGAACTTCACAGGCGAGCACGACAAATCTGGACACCGATGTACCGAACCCTCCCGCCAGCGCGCTGGCACCAAGATGCGGTGCAAGGTTCGTGGGCCCGTCGCCGCTTTGCAGGCGACGCTCATCGCGGCAGGGTGGAAGCCAGTTCAAGCAACATTATGGAGGCGACCCACACCACAAGGAGACGAATAATGGCGTTTACCGTTTATTGGCCAACGCGGCAGATGCGATGTGGATGCGGTCGGGTACATTCAGCTCCAGGAAGACCTTGAGACCGACTTGGACGCGGCTAGGTGGAAGCAAGCAGCCACGCACCTCCACGGCGAGGGTTTGTGCAATGGAGGCGGCGTCTGGCATATCGGCAGAGAACAAAGGAGGCGCGCGGACAAGGCTGAATGGCACGATTGGGCTCTCAACGACGTCGTTCGGTACAGGCGGACAATGGCCTAGAGTTAAACAAGTCGAAGCTGGCTACGAGTGCGATTCTGATATCTGCGGACGGTGCAAGCAGGAGCCAGAGACCCTTTTCCATCGTGTCTACACATGCCCCTGCAAGAAAAGGAACGACGCATACGAGAAGACATATTACCTTGTGACGAAAGCAATGGCAAGGGTGGGTGCCAACCCAGCGTTACGATTGCGAGGCATTCCGCCAAAGGAGCTCGCGCGCCCGATCGTCGCCGACATCGACAGGCAGGGCTACGTCAGGTTTGGCTCTTTCGGTCATGCGAGGGCCCCCGGCAGGAAGTTGCACATCTTTGGAGACGCATCGGGGGGAGCTCGCGGAGCAGATCCCAGGCGCAGAAGGGTCGTCATCGGGGTAGCTGCCGTGAAGTTGATCGATGGCGAATGGAACATGACAGCGGGCGCGATGGCAGATCTACCTGGGCGGCGCCAGACAGTGCCCAGGGCGACGCTCGCCGCCTTCGCGATGGCTATCGAAGAGACTATTGGTGATATCGTCTATGTCACGGACCACCCCCCTCTGCTCAACGCTTGGAACAAAGGCAAGGCTCGATGCCCAGTGCGCGGTAGAAGTGCAAATATATTGGCACGCATCAAGCGAGCCATCATGGAGAACGGGCAACGGCGCATCGAGGTGGAATGGGCGCCCTCCCATCAGGGCGGTGACGAGGCGGAAGCGGTCACTCCGATCTTCGCGGTGGGTATCGGCTTCGCGGGCGCGCTTGCGACGGTGGCAACGACATCGGCTTGGGAAAGGGTATGTCAACCGCTGCCGCGCACGGACGAGTGGGATGCGATTTGCGCCCATGTGCGACTCCGTGCGCGACACGC